CAACTTTTGGGCTTCTACTATAGTTGGACTAAGCCTCCTACTGCCGCTCATGGTGGCTAGTTGCCAGTGGTTGTCGACGATAAGCGTTATCAACAACTTGCGTACCAACATTGCCTCATCTGCAACATTCGAGTCAGAAGACCTTGATAGTTTGGGGATTGCTCGTGAAGTTCCAATCGTGGGGTACTGTTGTCTTCGATGTTGACGGGAAACGGCGTTCAAAGTGCTGAGTGGATTCAAAAGCCAAGCTGCTGTGAGCCTGGAATCCAACGGGCTGCCTTGGATGGGCTGACGATAGGTTTGGGGATTTAGGGTTCAGGGTATTTTCGGGTCCATATCCTTCGGATCAAGTTGTGCAGCATACTGCGCTGAAATAGTCATCGGAAATAGCTTGCCGGCTCATTTAGCGGTTTTTGCAAACACGTGGTTTCGGTTAACCCTAAACCCAAAGCTGGAAAACCCGAGTGTCTGTTTCTATTGCATCTCCGGGGTTCAGGGCGTATGGCTTCCTGGTAGGCATCGGCGGTACTCGCTCGGTTAAGCCGTCTTTGTTGAGCACGAAGCCGCGAACTCTCTGCAGAAACGTGGGTGTTGAGATCGTACAGGCCCATAAGACATCGTTTTCTCTGTATCACCCTAAACCCTAAACTAAACGCACCGTATCCTTATGAGACCCCATCAAGCCCTGTGACATGCCCGGCAGACTTTCAGGCCAGGCAGGGCCGACGAGGATCTGCAGGCAGTCTGGACAAAGTGGGGGGGGGGGGGGGGGCTGGTGATGGACACGACAGCCGCTGGTGGACAAGGCGCGTCACAAAGACACCTGGGCTTTTATAGGGGTCTGAACAGTTGGTAAGAGTTTTCCTTCAGATTAAAGTATATGGTTATGCTTTGGCTATGATGTTAAGATAACTTCATAGACCCTGTTGAAAGAAAGGTATTCTAATTGGACAAGCCCCAATAAGTTGAGGGTTTAAGGTTAAGGGTTCTACTTCTACAGTTATTACAGTTGAAACCCTACACCCCTAGACCAACAACTAAACGAAAACCCTGCCCAGAAATAGAGCACCCTAATTGCCGGAAGCTCTCAGACACTGTAGTGTACTGTACGCGCTCTCTCTCTCTCT